CTTGTCACCTCACGGTTGGATTATTGCAACACGCTCTACATGGGGCTACCCTTGAAAAGTGTTCGGAGACTACAGTTGGTCTAGAAGTCAGCTGCGCAAGCTGTCGTGGGTGCACTTAGGTACAATCACATTACACCAATTCTCTGCAAGCTGCACTGGCTCCCTATTGGTTTCCAGTCACAATTCAAGGTGTTGGTTATTACCTTTAAAGCCCTACATGGCTCAGGGCCAGGTTATCTTCGAGACCGCCTTCTACCACGTAGCTCCCAGCGACCAGTAAGATCCCACAGAGTTGATCTCCTCTGGGTCCCATCAGCTAAACAATGCCAGCTGGTGGGCCCGTGGGGGAGGGCCTTCTCTGCGGCTGCCCCAGCTCTCTGGAACCAGTTACCTCCTGAGGTCCTGACCGTCTCCACCCTATTGGCCTTCTGAAAAGCGGTGAAGACCTGGCTTTTCCGGCAGGCCTGAGGCCGTTGATCTCGTTATAATGATCTTGCGAGATCCGGCCACGAATTGGAGTGCATGTGTTTTAATGTTTTTAAAGTTTTTAATGTTTTAATGTTTTTCTTTTTAACATTTTTAACAGGATTGTTCGCATTGTTTTATTCTTTGTTGTAAGCCACCCAGAGTCCCTTGGGAGTTGGGCGGCATAGAAATGGGACAAATAAATAAATTGAATAAATAAATTTTGGAAATTCTTTCTAGAGTTCATTCTCCCCACACCCTGATCCTTGCAACCAGGCTGGGGGTGCCCCCCTCTGAAACCCCAAGACGAGGTCCTGGCACAAGCCAGGATGGCTGGCCAGGCCTTTTAAAGGGCCCCCCACTTCAAAGGGCAGATGCTGCTAACAGGATGGAAAATGTGGGTCTCTCCAACAGCTGCGATGAGGGAGGCCTGTTGGGTTGGGTAAGAAAAGGGAAGCAACTTTCAGTTTCTGTCTGCGGCCTTCAAAATGGAGACCCCGCAGAAGCCCCAACGGGACGGATTCTCCACCCAAGTTGGCCCTTGGGAGGCAGCAGCTGGAGCATCTCCCCCCCCCCCCGGCTTTTGAGGGCCGTTGTGCAAAACGCGGCTGCTGTTCTTTGCCGCGCTAAAAGGGACGAGAGGGGAACTCGAAGTACCAACAGCGGCCGACGGCCAGAGGTTCCCGCCCTGCTTGTGGGGCTTCCCCTCCCCATAACTCGGAGGTCGCCCTGCTGCTGCTCCTCGGGACTCGAAGCCAGAGCCGGATCGAGGCAGGGGGGACGGGAAGCGCCGTCTGCCCGGCTCAGCTCCGGCGTCCTTCGGCTCTTCTCACATCGGGGCAGCCGCGCCTGGAGCTCCGCCGGCGAGTCCGCCTTCCCGGGCGGCCGAGCTGGAGCGCCGCCTCTGTCCTCGAGGGCGCTGCCGGCCCTTCGTCCGCGGAGCCTCGCCCTCCCGATTCAAGGCGGGTTGCAGGGCGGGTCCCGCCGCCTCCACAGAGGCCGAGCCTCTCCCCTCCCTCGGCGGCCCCGCAGGCAGCAGCGCGGTCTCTCCAGCAGGGCCGGGAAGGGGGCGCCTTCCTCGGGGGAGCCGGGCTAAGCGGGGGCGGCCCTGCGGCGCTTCTGCCTCCCCGCCCGGACTGCGCCGCATCGCGGGCAACCGAAGCCGCCTCCTGGGGGCAAAGCTGCGGGGGACGCCCGGAGGGGTCGGGGGCGTCCCAGGCAGGCAGAGCGGCGGGGAGGGGCAGGCCCCACTTTCCTCCTGACGGGGGAGGGGCAGAAGGAATCCCTCGCCTCCCCCTTCTTGGCAGCCGGCCTGGAAGCCCATCTCGCCGCTTCGCTCCGGCGACGCCCGTGCGAGTAAGCCGGGCCGGCCGCCCCGAAGAAGCCGAGAGCCGGCCAAACGGAGCCTTTCCGGCCCTCCTCCTGCCGCCCATTGTGGGGTTCAGGGGCTCCTGCAGGCATTTGACCTTTCCCTCCCTGGGGGGCAGCTGGAGCCCGGGGCGTCTCTTGGGGGAGGGGCCACCCAGCCAGAGGGATCCCAGAGGCGCACTAGGCCTATGCTGACACAACCCCCCCCGCCCTTCAGAGCCGCAGCGCTTCGAGGGGAGGCTCAGCTCTAGCTTGGCACTGCCCCCGCCGCCCCCCCCAGGAAATCGGCCACAATTTTACCACTCGGGTGGGGACGAAACCTTCCCACCCTTTGACCTTTTCCGTGAAGCCAGAGGATGCTTTACAGCCACTCGGGGGGGGGGAGCAGCCCCCCAAAGCAGCCTCCCGCCTTCTGCACCCCCCGATACGTGGCAGGAGCAAGAGGGCGGCCTTTCTGGCACGGGGGAGGCCCCTCCACTTCCCGCTGTCGAAGACGACCGGCCCCGAACCCAGGGACCAAGGCGGAAGGGCGGGGGGGGGACTGCAGTGCAGTGGAGTCTGCGGGGAGCAGCCCAAATTCCAGGGGGCGAGAAGAGGCAGCCAAGCCCAGCAGCGTTGGGGCACAGAAAGGAAACATTTCGGAGTTGCTGCCTCAGTTAACTCCCTGTAAGTCTGTCTGGAAATCTGCTTGCACCTTTCGATATTTTTACCCTGACGGGAATTAAAGGCACTTTTTGGTCCTTGGATTTGCCAGCCATAGAAGCCCCTCAGCCCTGAAGGCATCTTTGCACAGAAGTGAAAAACCCCTAGAGGAGGAAGGACACGGAGGCCCCTCTGCAGGGGTGGGCAGGCAGCTCTCTTGCCCTCAGCAGCAGCTGGGAGGGGGGGCTGCTGCCAGGCCAAGCAGGCCCCATGGAAGAGCCCTGAGGCAGGCAACCCCCTGCCAGTCCATCAGAGCTGGCCTGGGTGCCTTCTTATAAATAGGCCCCGTTAAGGTGTGGGGCATCTTGGGGCACTCTGAAAACTTGGTTGGGACTTCAGTTAAGCTAGGAAGGGGGAAAGGTGTGTGTGTGTGGGGGGGTTGTGATCAGTGAAGGACAGCAGGAAAGCCTCAGGGGAGGGAGCCTGAGAGCCACTGCCAACCCAGCCAAACTACCAAACCCAGCTTGTCCTTGCCCTGCACCTGAGATCTTGGCAACCCCAGAAAGGTTGCAGAACGTCTGCTTGGCGTTCCAATAACACCGCAGATTCTGTCCCTAAGTAGGGCGGGAAGAGTCCTGTGGCTACTCTGAGCTGAAAGGCTAAAAGCTTGCTTGGCACAGGAAAGGTAGTGCTGTTTGGAGTGCTAGCCTGGCAAAGGCCCAAGGCTGAACCCTGGCTTCTGGAATGAGGCTGTCTGAGCAGTTGTGGCAGAAGCAAGGAGCCAAGAGCGGGTGGATATTTGGGCATCTGTCATCGGCTTTCAAAAAATAGCTCTTTGGGGAGGACTGAGCTTTTAGTGTGGTGAACCAAGGCCTCGCTCCTCCAGGGCATCAAACAAGAGCTGGGAGTACACACAGCTGGCTCTTGGCACAAAGCCTGGTTGCTGGGCACTTTCTCCTTGACCTGCTTCTGCTCCCCCCCCCATTTCTACTGCCACCTCCAAGGGCTGCCCAAAAAGGCATTTGATAACATCCGTGGAACTTATCGGCAGAGAAATGAAATCTTAGCTACACTCAGCCAATTCAGACCATGTCAGCCCCTGAGCTGCACTGATGACTGCCATGCAAAATGCCCCATCTCAAGCACTAAAGGAGCATCCTGATCAGGCCATGAGCAAGAATGCTGCTGGACTGGAGTCCTGGCATCTTCACCCAGCAAGGTATGGGTGCTAACCCCCTCCTGGCATTTGTCCTGCACTGATGTGTGGGTAGAAAGTAGCTACCAGACTAGTAGCTGCCTTGACTTTGTCCACCACCGTTTTCAAAAAGCACCCAGCTTCGTGGTGATGACTTGTAATGCACCAAGCATGATCCTGCTCGCCTGCAGAACAGGCTCAGCCCCCAGAAATACGGCCTCAGACTCCCATGCGCTCTGGAGGGTCCACACCGAAGGTCTTGTGCTGGTAGAAGGAAACATTTCCACACTAGAACACCTGAGCCATCTTGGGCTGCCTCAGAAGCAGGCTGGAGAGGAGATGGAGGCCAGGCCTTGAAGAAAGACACAAGTCTTTGTGCCCCGCAAGGAGAAGCACATACGCAGCTCCCACAAATCAACACAGAATGGTAGCAACCCTGGGCTGGTAATGATGCCCCCAAATTATGTTTGTGTTGAGCTCCAGTTCTTAGGCTCCTGCCACGCCCTGAAGCATCCGTGCCCTCGGCCGCTCATTCTGCTTCCCTCTTCCTGGCTTGAGCGTTGGCCACAGAGCACAAAAGGGGGTCTTGTCAATTCTCACAATCAGCTCACAGCCGTCTGTCTCCTCAAGTCTTTGTCCAAGACCTGCAGATCTTGGTGCACCATTGTGGAGAAACAGGAAGGACTCTGGGGAAGCCAGGCAGCTCCCCTGCTTTCCAAGCCAGTGTTCCTGGGATGCCTCAAGTTTGGAACATTGTGAACTAACCCCCCACTTTCGCTTCCTGAAGGGGCAGACCTGTCACCCCCACCCTTCCTCTTGTGCTAGAAATTGTAGTTGACAAACCACCGCCAGCAGCTTAATGCAAACAAAGCAAACAACTAAATTGCATAAAATCAAACTTCAAGGCAGCCCGGTGCGTTGTGTGAACACACTGCAATTTTGCAAACTCGGACGGAGGTCAGCAGCCTTCCCTGATCCCAAAGGGCTCCGAGTGAGGCCACCAACCCCGCTTCTTCAGGCGCAGGAGGCCTTCGGGGGGGCTCGGCGGGCACAAGGGACTCGGCCGCACCCAGCACCGAGAGCGAGCGCCGCCCGTCTGCCGTCTCGGCCCTCCCGCCCCACCCGGGCCGGAGCCGCCGCCGAGCTCTGCGGAGGAGCCGGGACAGCCGCTCCCCGCTCTGGCGCCGGCCCGGGGAGCTCAGGAGAGGGGACCGCGCAGCGCGAGCACCCGAGCCCGGCGGCGGAGCAGCGGAGCCAACCCGCCCGCGCTCCTTCCCTCCCTCCCTCCCTCCCTCCCCGCGCGAGGCGGAGCCGCTCCGGAGCCTCTCCCCCGCACCCGCCCGCGGCGCCCTTCCAGATGGGCCGGCCCTGGCCGGCTGCGGAGGATGGGAGCCCCGGTCCGCGCCCCCAGTCGGCTGCCTGCTGCGCGCCGGGAGGGCGGCCTGCGGGGCTGGAGGCTGCGCGCTCCCGAACACCAGCAGGAGCCGCGGGGCCGGCCCCCCTCGCCTCGCCGCCCGATGGAGGCTGCCCGGCCGCTGCTGCTGCTGCTGCTGGCGCTGCTGCGCCTTTCCACCGCGGCCGAAGGTGCGCGGCTCGCGCGGGGACGGGACGGGACGGGGGGGCGGAGCGGGGCCCGTTCGCACGTGCACTTTGCACGCGTCTGGCAGCTGCCGGCGGGGCGCTTCCCGGGGGGCTTCCCAGGTGGGGCGCCGGGCTGCTCGGGCCGGGACGGTCACTTGCGGGCAGCGCTCGGGGTGGGGGCGGGCAAAGCGGCGCCGGGAAGAACGGGCGCACTCTTCACGTGCTCAGAGGCGCGGAAGGCACACGACGACCCCCCCCCCACCACCTCGCGACGATTGCTCCCGAATACGCATGCTCGGTCCTCCGCACGGGGCGGGGCGGGCAGGGTGACGTCGTGTTTTTCTCCCGAGTCCCCGCCCTCCTCGGCTCGGGATTGGCTCCCGCTCCGTGTGGCGACGGGCCCCTGCGGGGTGATGTCATCCCAGCCGCATTGCTCCGTGGAGTAAACAACCTGGCCCCGCCCCCGGCACGTGGCCGGCCCCGCCCCGCAGCGAAGCCCCGCCTTGAACCACAACTCCCATAACTCCCAGCCTCCACTCCCCCACCCCCACCCCTTTGGCTGCCTGAACCGAGCGGGGCTCCTCGGGGGCGGCGGGCGGCCCTTCCTCGCCTCTGCCCTTCCTGGGCGACCAGTTGCCTGACGTGGCGGAGGGTCTCCCGCTTTGAGCGGCGGGTGCGACTAGAAGACCTCGGAGGCCCCCTGCAACTTCTGTTCCTGTGCGCTTCCTCGGCAGATGCCACCGCCACTCCGCCGGGCTCGCCGGCCCTTCCCGCCCGGACGCCCGCCGCCCAGGAGCCGCCCGAAGCCTTCGAGCCCGCCCGGGGCGAGTCGGCCGCGGTGCAGCCGGTGGTGGGCATCAGCCAGAGGGTCAAGATGAGGCCCGGCGAGAAGAAGGACCTGGGCACGCTGGGTGAGCGGGCCGCGCAGGGAGCCCCGTCTGCCGCGGGAACTCTGGCCGGGCTCCGGGATTGGCAGTGGGTGCTGGGCAGGGAGGGGGGACACACGCGCCCCCGCCGCCCCTTTGGCCCTGGAGCAGCGGCTGGGGAGCCTTTTGCAAAGGCTGCCAACTAACCCAGCTTAGCTGTTGGGGGGGGGGCAACCTAGAAGGTGGACAGGCTCAGATCGGGGCGGGGGCATCACTAACCTCGCTGCTCTCTCCCCCCCCACAGGCTACGTGTTGGGCATTATCATGGTAGTAGTCCTCATTGGCATCGGAGTGGGCGTTGTGCTGGGCTACCTGTACAAGAGGCAAGTACTGGGGAGCAGCCCCTTATGCCCTTGTGGACGGGTTTTGTTTTTAATAAATGGACACCTCAGCCTCCCTTTGGGGGTCCCACAAATCCCCGGCCTTAGCATCCATCTTATCCCGTGTGAGAGTTGCAGGGTGTGTATCTCTATGCTTTCTTTCCCATCTTAAGGTCTGTTGTGCCTGTGTGCATCTCTCCCTAGGCAATACTTGTCTTTGGTCAAATAGTTTTCTTGAGGTTTCTGGGGCTTTGCATGTGGGGCTCAGACCCACTTTGGCCTTATTCTTAGTGCTCCCCCATGCTTTGGAGCTTGGTTTTAGGCAGTTTCTTAGTGGGGTGGGGGGGCTCTTCTGTTCTCTTGAGGCAGAACTTTTGGGAAGTGGTCAGGAGCCCTCTGCTCCTGCAGCCACGGAATAACAGAATTGGAAGGGACCTTGGAGGCCTTCTAGTCCAACCCCCTGCTCAAGCAGGAGACTCTAGTGGTCTGTGCCATTTCAACAAATGGCCTTCCAGTCTCTTCTTAAAAGTTTCTAATGATGGAGCACCCACAACTTCTGAAGTTCCAATGATTAATTGTTCCCGCGGTCAGAAATTTCTCCTTAGTTCTAGGCTGCTTCTCTCCTTGGTTAGTTTTGCAAGCGCAACTAAAACTTGCATTCAGAATCTGAAATGTGTCCAGCCAGTCTGTCCTGGAGGGGGATCTCTGTATTTGAGGGCACAACATTCTGTGCACTGCCCCACAGGTGGCAGAGGGCCATGGGAGACAACTATTATAGTTGGTAGCAAATGAAAATTCATTCTCCATTAAATTGGCTGGATTTTGTGTGTGTGCACAAAACTATGCAGGAATGGATTTGGGGGAGCTGTCCCTGGCTTATTCCTGCCAACTTTGGGCTTCTCTCATTCCTCAACTATCTAGGAGAGTTGCTTGAAAGCATTTTTGGGGTTCATGGAGAGGTTTCTAGAAGGGCATTTGTGGAGCAGAGAAAAACTTTCCCAACTCAGCCTGTGGCCTCCAGCAGCGGCCTCTGCTGTTTTCCGGGGACCATCGAAGGCCAAATGCCCACCACTGCTCTGTGTCACTTGCCAGAGACACGGAGGCAATTGGATCAGCTGCGGTGGCTCTGCACCCAGAACAAACGTCTTGGGGCACCAGTGCCACGGGACAGTTCAGGTTTCCTACACTGCCTTGGGAAAAGCAACACCTGCTGAAATTTATATTTACTGACAAAGGAAAGTAAATATAAATTTAGGACAAAAATAGTTTGCCTGCGAAGGCTCCTGGATTGGGGCTGAAAGGCGAAAGCGGAAGCCGTCTGCTCCGTCCCATAGCTGGGTAGACCAGGTTGCCCTGATCTTAACACCTGTTGGAAGTTGTAGGTACGCCCCCACAAACGCCCCCGTCTCTTCGGTCTCTTCCAGGGGCAAAGACCTGAAAGAGCGGCAGGAGCAAAAAGCCAACGAGCGCGAAATGCAGCGCATCACTTTGCCCCTCTCGGCTTTCAGCAACCCGGCCTGTGAGCTCGTGGAGGAGAACGTCATTGTGGTGCACACCAACCCCACTCCGGTGGAGGAGATTCAGGGGGGAAACACTCCACTCATGGGCCGGGCCGGCACTCCGGGGGCTTGAGGAAGAGATGCCCCCCCCCGTTGGACCTCTGAGGCGGACGCCTCTTTGCCTCTCCATTTACCCTGAGGATCCATTTGTATTTTGCTTTTCCGTTTGAAAAACAGGCCACCCGGACAGAAAAGCGCCCAGCACTCACTCAGCCGAGCAGAGCGAGTGGCGGCGTGGCTGCCCCCCCAGCCAGCAGCAGCTCTGCAGGGGGCCTGTTTGACGCAAGGGGCCGGGTGGGACTTTGGGAGGGTCGGCTGCCTCTGGTTCTTCCATTGTGGGGCCTGCACGTTCTCTGGGCAGCGCCATGCTGGAGTGGGGAGCTTTAGCGAAAGGAAAGAGTGTTTGGGCAGGGATCCAATCCTGCGCACGTTGATGCTGCTGAAAGGGCTGCACATAATATGGCAGTTCCCTTCCTTCAAAGCGGCCACAGCCTTGCCAGCCCTCCAGTCTGGAGCCAGACGGAAATCCCCCTCCCTGCTCCTCCCGGGGCGGAAGCAGCCAGGCCTGTCTGAGCAAAGAGGCGATTTGGGGGGAGGCAGCACCAAAGGAAAAGCTTGGAATCGCCCCGGAAGGGCTTTGGGTAGGGCTGGAATGGGGGGCTGATGTCTCTTGTGCCAGCAAGGAAGCAACTCCAGCTGTGCTTTTTTAAAAAACCTTTTACCACTCGAGGGCGGGAACTGGGACTTGGATGCCAAAAGCAGAGGTTTCTTACGAGTTCTGTTTATGCAGGTTTAGCGGTTTTTTAAAATCTTTTAAATGCCTTTGGATACAGTTTATTTCTAAGTGTTTTGAATACCTCATACCTAAAAATAAAAACTATTCAGGTTGTAAGTGTCGTCTTTGGTGGGACTCACCTCCTGCACCTGGGGGCGCACACATCCCCTCCTTTCTCTCTCCAGCTGCCTCCTGTCCAAGGCCAGGCTGGTCTCAGGTTGCCAAAATTCATTCCAGCCCAGACATCCCCCCCCCCAGGTCCATCAAAAGGTTTAGGATTTGCTCCACCAACTGCCTAGTCCCCCAAGAGTCTCTTCCTCGGATCATCTGACGTTCTGGCAGACTCTCTAAATCAGGGGTGTCAAACTCGAGGCCTCCTTTTAATGCCCTATTAAAAGCAGCTTCCCTCACTGGGCATTACAAAGAAAAGCAAGTGAATTTGTGCAACAACAGAAGCCCTGCAAGCACAAACACAAACTCAATAGTTGCATTGCAGGAGTTTGGTGCTCTTGTTCTTTGCAATGAAAGTATTGTCAACCTGGAGTAGGAAATGGACCAGACTCACAAAATGCCTCCAAGAAATGGCATCTACGTTCATCTTTGTAGAACGAAGTTTATTGCTTTTAATTTAGACAAAAATCTGTGCACTTACAACAGTTGTGTCACCTTTCTTGACACATGATCCATGTTTCCTATAGCTGGCCTGTTTATAGCACATGTGCGCGTACACAACTTTTAAGAATGAAATGAAATGAAATGAAATGAAATCTAGTCTAAAATGCACCAGATTTGTTGCAGTCGCTTAGACCAGTGTACAAGGGCCCAGCATTTTGAGCTCTTGTAGCATGAAAGGGGGGCAGAAGTCCCTCCAGACACCAGTGAACTACAACCCACAGCATTCCAGAGTCTTGGGACGCGTGGCCAGACCTGCTGGGAGATGTTCAACATCCAGGGGTGTAAATGTTGCCAACCTTTAAGTAGCCCTCAATGTATTTTGCAGAGAGGGGAGAGATGCAACCAGCGCAGCTCCTCTCTACATCTGGAAGAGGGAGGGGAAAGGTGGCCCCAGCCAAGTGTTTCTCTGAGGGGCCTGAAATGGAGGACAGAGGTAGTGACTATAGCGTGCCAGTCTTTCAGATCTGTGGCCCAAGTTGATTGCTCCACTCCTGGTCAGTTTGGGAATAGAAGCACTTCCTTTCCAGGGATCCACCTCCACCAACCCCCTCCCTCAAACGGAGAAGCTGCCCAGCCTGGCCCTCAACCCATGTCTGTGGCCCTACAGGGCAGATCGATGAAATGCCACCCAGTGCATGAAGAGTTCTTTGGCCAGGCAGATGGTGGTTCGGAGCTGTTCCTGGGAGACAAACCACAAAATTCAGCCGTCTCTGTAGAGGTGAGTGCAAGCAATCCAGGTTGCCCTCCCCTTACCTGATCTAGCAGAACAGGGAGTCCCAGTCAAAGCAACCCCAAGGTTTGTATCCTGGCGGGATTCTGCTTTGTGAGCCCATCCTGGAGGCTTCACAACTTGTAGTGTATTGTGTTGGAAGGCAGGTTCGCACCCCAACTCTTGAGAACCGCATTCCCAAAGATAAAGAGCATCTGTACTGAGAAGCGAGTGGCGTGAAGAAGAGGATGATGCTTTCAGGAAGTGCCCACAGGAGGTGACGGTGGTGGAGAGAAGTAACGAGGCGAAAGAGGCTGCCTTCCTGTTGCCCTCCCAAAACGGACGGGGTGGAGATTTTTCTGCTGCCTCCAGGACAATCCGTGGAAAGAAGCCGCACAGCGATGGCCGAGTGGTGGGATTATGTCAGATCGCCAGAGTGCTTGTCCCGAATCAGGCCAAACTGCACGCTCACGCTGTGGTCCAGTTCCTCCAGTTCTGAAGGGAGCGGAATGCCCAGTTCTCCCAGGTACAAAGAAAGGGCTTCAAAAGAATCCTCCAGTTTGGAAAAGGGGGGCCTAGGAGAGAAGGCGGGAGAAGGGAAGGTAGCAATGGGGGCTTCCTAACAGGAGCGCCATTAGCACACCTCTGAGCAGAACTGCAAGCCTTTTTCCAAAAATGCAGCTGACCCTAAATTTCCATTCTATGCCGAAGTAGTGATCGCTTCTGCCCCAGCCTCTTCAGCTGTTGAGAAGCCCAGCAGAGGATCAGCAATGGGGCTGCCTTGCCGACCACTCCCTCGCCTAAACAGCTTGCTTTCAGCCCCCAAAGGGAGTGGGGCAGAGGAGGCACACACACACAGACCCCCCAGACTGACCTGCTCTCTGGCTCCAGCCTGCAGCAGATGGCTGCCAGAGGGAAGAAGGCCGGAGGACAGTCCACCGGAACAAACTTCTCCCAGAACAGCTTCACGTTGAGGCCAAAATCCAGGGTGCGAGGGAGACAGTCCGGGTCTGCATACACTTGTCCTATGATCTGGAGCAGAGCAATTCCCCGTCATTCCCTCCAGGCACCTAAGGCAGGACGTGTGGCTCAGCTACCTGCTGCTCCTGCTGACTCGACGATTGCTTCAAGAAAGGAGTCCCAGGCCTAAGCAGGAGGCAACTGCAAGCACCCAGGCAGCCCAAGGTGCCTTGTGGGGAGCAGCAGGCTCCCTTCTCACAACCCCTGTTGGCAACCTTCACTGGGTGCCACGGTATTCATGCCTGCTAGCCTGGCTTTTGTGAAGCTGCCACACTAGTCCCCACTGACAGGCAGGGCTCAGGGCCATGCAACCTCCCTACAGCGGAAGGCTCTTGCTGCAGGATGAGATGGATTGGACTCAGTTTGAGAAAACAACCTTGAAACAATGACAAGATTAGAATTTCCAGGCCTGTTATTGCCTCAGCTTTTCCCCCCAAATAAGAGAAAATTATACTGATGCTTTGCTGGAGCAACTACCAGAAAAGCAGGAGTTTTCACTTAGGGTGGATATGCTCCAGTGGTGGGTTGCTACCGGTTCGCCCCGGTTCGGGCAAACTGGTAGCGGTGGCAGCGGGAGGCTCCACCCACCCTCCCAGACGTCTCTGCGCATGCATAGAAGCGTTGAGCACGTGTGCGAGAGAGCATGAGTCCACGAGCGAACCGGTAGCAACAGGATTTGAAACCCACTACTGATATGCTCAAACCTTAGAAATTGCAATCAGGAATTCAGAATGGACCTGCTGCTAGCTTTGTTTGAAGTAAGCCACTGTAGAAAAAATGGAAGTCTGCAATGAGTGCTATAATATATGGTACGCTGCCCAGACCTTCTCTGAGGGAGATGGGTGGTTAAAAAATACAAAATATAAATAAGCTTTGATTTATCATGAGAGCAGAAAAACTGGCCCACCCTCGAAAAGGACAACCTAAACCATATTTCTTTTTTGACACATGGCAAACTTTTAGTGATGAAAAATAAATTGCGAGCAAAAGCTGTCCGTTGTTATCCCTGGGTTCGTTGTCGCTGATATGGGAAAATATGTGCTATTTATAAAAAAATTAGAGAGTTGCTAGGCAGTGGGTTAGATGATAAAAATTCCAATTTCTTATATAATCTCTTTTTAAGAAAAATATTGAAATGGAAGCATTATATGTGCGCTGCTAAGAGTTCCATGTTATCTTTCAGAGAATTCACAACAAACCCGCAAGAGGAGAGCTGCCCTCAGCTCCCAGATGGGCTTCCCCTCCTGAAGTCTTTGCCCCCTTAAGTCCAGAGACCGAGTCCATTGACCAAGAGGGTCTGAACTGCCAGCCCATTTGGGAAAGACTGATGGTCAACCAGGTGTGCCAAAAAACCCCAAGCAATTGTGCAATCATTGGACAACTGGGGTGGCTGCAGTCCTTGGCCAGGAAAGGTGAGCTGGCAGCTCCATTCTTAGATGAGCAGCCCAAACCGGAGACAAACCCACTTTTGTGGTTGACCACTGAATCTTCCTCTGGGTAGTCCAGAAGGCGGTCCAAGCCCACCCTCCCTTTTCGTCTCTAGCCCTGGCAGCCTCTACAGGGGGCTGGCTGGTGAAATCCCAAGGGGCACAAAGCCTGAGGTCTCCAGGTGTGGTCCCCGGCATTTTCCGGCATTCGATCCTCAAGCCCCCTACCCCACCCAAATCCCCTCAGTGGACTGGGCTTACCTCGCAGAGCACGATCCCAAAGGAGAAGATATCGACTGTCTCATCGTAGCTCTGTCCTGTAAGAATCGGAAACAGTCATTAGAATGGAGACAATATGGATGAAAACCCACGCCAGGGGTAGGGATAACCGGGCACAGAACGGAACATGGAAGAATCGGGGTGCCCTGCCTATCCTGCAGGGTGGGGCAAGTATCTTGTGTGTGTCCAGCTGCCATGGAGCCCTGGCAGCTGTGAGGGGAGGAAGTGGAGAGTATCAGGGCAGCCCTTCCGGAACTCCCACTCCTCAAAAGAACATCAGGCCCAAAGCCAGCAGGCGGATGTCTTTCCCCCACCAAATGGGGAGAGGGGAGGCAAGGCCGGTCAGCCTTCGAGGTGATCCAGAGAAGAAGGAGCCACTGTGAGCAGTAAGGCTACTTTCACTGTAAGGCGACAGCAACACAATCTTGCAAGTTTGACAGCACATTCCCCCCTCCCTTACTTTTCCCTTCCAGAGAAGTAGGGAGGGTCCCTTCCAAGATGCCTGCTCTGCCCCCAGTCCTTCCCTTGGCTGAGATAAGGCTTGTCAGACCCACTATCCTGACTGTGGCTCTCCCTCCTGTCTCCCAAGGTCGGCCTACGACCGATTCCTTAGCAACTGTTTCATGTTAGGATGGACCTATCTTGGGGCTACCTATGAACTGGATTTGAAGTTGCAACAGTCGCCCCCCCCCCCCCCCCCCCCGGTCATGTGAGTGAACTTTGGGCACTCGGCAACCAGGTTACATTTACAATTGTTTGAAGCTTCCCACATTCACATGGTATGTTTTACAACGGTTTTGTCAAAACTGCACCCATAGCGAATCATAGGTTCATTTGACTAGCACAAAAAAGGCCGCAGACTCTCAGGCTCCAAGCCAGTCTTCAGGCTCCACACGTGTGCGGAGCCCACGAGAGGACAGACCAACCGTTGGCAAAGGCCCAGTGGCTCTGCAATGGTGAGTTTCGCAGGCTCCTCCACGGCCCCAGGAGGAAGGGGGCTCCTACCGTTCAGCATCTCGGGGGCCATCCAATACGGGTTCCCGACCACAGTGTAGCGCTTCCTCCGGTCGCTCTTGCGCAGCGTCCGCTTCTTGGCCAGTGGCTTTTCCAGGGAGGGCCTCTTCCTCTCCTCCACAATCAGCCGAGAGAGGCCAAAGTCTGCCACTACCACCGTGTTGTCCTGGGCCAAAGGCGAAGCAAGAATTAGCAAGCCGTCCCGGGAAGGCCTGGACTGATCAGGAGAGAGGAAGCCCTGATGCTGAGGGCAAGCACCACTGTGCCATGTCCCGGGAACCCATTTCATACACGTGGCATCAGCACCGCTGAGGGGCACAAGAGCCTTCCTGGCCCTTCTCCAGGCAGCTCCTTCTGGGGAGCCAAAGCTCCCCCTGGCCCTTCCGGCCTTCGCCAACTGCCAGCAATTCTTGGGTTCTCAAGTGTGAAGGTTTTTCAATTGCATTGAAATTAGATTTGTTTTATCCAAATGCACACAAAACAATGAAAAACCTCCAGTTTAGGCCTTTTCATCAATTCATTGGGCCTCAAAGAATTTTAAAAGTTTGGCTTGCCTTAAAAAAAGCAAAACAAAAGAATCTGGGACCCTGAAATAGCAAAGGATGACCTCTGATATTCATAGTTTTTCAGGGGTCTCCAAACTTGGCAGCTTTAAGTCTTGTGGACTTCAACTCCCAGAATTCCTCAGCCAGCCGTTGCTGAGCTATGTTGGCTGAGGAATTCTGGGAGTTGAAGTCCACAAGTCGCCAAGTTTCAAAACCCCTGATTTATATGTTCCTTGAGTTGTTAGACCAATGAACAGGCTTTGATTCATAAACCGCATGTTCCACAAGCCACAATTTTCTCAAGGAAAGTGATTGCGGGTGTGCTTGCAATTCTCCCATTCAAAGTGGGATTTGTGGCCAAACAATCTATAGTAACCACCGGATTGATTGGCATTCATGCTTCTCAAAGGCTAAAGCGCCCTATGACAGAATGTCTTCTTCCTTTCTGAAGACGGGGCTCCCCAAATTCTCCCTCAGTGGTCAAATGCTTATTTTGGGCTCTGCCCCCTGCAAGGTCTCGGCTGACCATCCTTTGGTGCTCTTTGCTATTAACAGCAAGAGAGGAGTTGACTTGCTGCAACCTGCTGACATTAATCATACTGGCCTTGGCTCCCCTCTAATGGCTGGTGCACTGTTGGGCGAGTTTTCCGACTGTGAGACCTTTGTGCCAGTCCAACCTGAGGCTGGTGCTTCCCAGGGAAAGGGGCGGGGCCCCCAAAGAGCCAGGAGAGCCAGCCTCCTCCTATGACTTCAGCAGGTGAGCAGAAAGCGGACCTGGCCAAGCGCAGGTACTTACCAGTTTGATCAGGCAGTTGTGGGAGTTCAGATCTCGGTGAATGATGCGCATGGAGTGCAGGTAAGCCTGCAAGAGGGAGAAGCCAGAGGTGAAGACGAGGCGCCATGTGTCTCCATGCTCAGCCTCGGCTACTGTCCTGGGAGCCTCCGCTGGCAGCTGAGCAGCCCAAGAGACGGGGGACAGGCCAGCCCAAGGGCTACTTTGTCCCCTGGGAAGGGCCGATGCCTGGAGGCAAGGCTGCTGGAGAGTCAGGGGTGGGAGCAACCCCTACACCAAGAAGAGCTGGGGGCAGAAGCTGTGGGGTGGGGCGATGGACTGAGACTGAGGACTCGGATTCTAGTCCTCACTGGACCCAACCTTCCTCATCAGAATTACAGTAGGGCTAAAATGCAGGCAGGTCTCATTCTTCGTGTTTTGAACTTCCAAGAAAGGTACAATAAAGCAACCAGCTCTTGTGTCATCCTCGCTTTGGAAAACACATGACTAACTAAACCTCAGGTGCTGCCCCAGGAGATTCTGTGACTCTATGTTGGTTTCAGCAGACCTTCCAACCGCAGCTGAATGGACTGGCGATCCGCACCCTCTCCCTTTGGCCCTAAGACCCACCCCTTCGCAAGGCCAGGAAGGGGTCCAGGAAGGGGGCTCACCATTCCAGAGGCAATTCCTTTGGCAAAGCTGACCTTCTGTTCCCAAGGAAACGGATCCTGCAAGGAAAAAAGGGTCCCTTCATTAAATTGTCTTCAAGACAGGGAGGGATGCCAAGGGTTTTGCCATCACAGCAGTGGTGGGCATGTAAAAACTGACCCAATTGTTACCAATGTGTAGAGCAGAATGCAGATAGGACATGAAACAGGATTTTCTGCAGGTGATAAGATGCAGAACTGGCCTTCCCCATGTGCCTGCAGAAAATCCTTTCAATGCACGCCAGGAATTTCCACCTTTTTTTTTTTTTTTTTAAATTTGATTTATATGCCGCCCTTCTCCGGAGACTCAGGGCGGCTTACAGTGCGTTAAGCAATCTTAAATATCTTTGAGGAAGAGGAGGAAATCCTTGCTGTGCACTGAAGAAATTTCATAATTTCATAACCCAGCAGGTTGCAAAGCAAAACTGTATGTTCAGAATCATTTTTCCCCCCAGAAATGTTTCCTTAAATGAACCCTCAAATAAGTCTTTTAGAAAAACAAGAACAAGATGACCTTGATGGGAAAAACCCAGGAACCATTACGTAGGTAAAAGAAGCTGGAACTCTTTTTTAAATTGAAAAGAGCAAAATAACATTTGAAAGCAGCTCAGGCAGGCGTATCCTTAATTCACCAGATTTTTAAGGAAGTGGTGAAGGTCCAATCAGATTTGCAAGACTGATGCAATCCCACTAGGTCAACCAGCCAGGAAATCAACTCCTTGGAAGGTTAAAACTATTTTTATTGAAATGGGTTACAATAAGAGAACCTTCCCAGTGAATGGAGAGAGGGGTCTACCTGAGCCGCTTCTGGATGTTATGTTGTAGTTCTGGACTTCCAACGTGCTTCAGCCCCTTTTCCCTAGGCAGCAGGTCCTGCCCAGCTCCATCAAGGCCATCTCCCCCTAGTCGCCAAAAGGGCACACAGAAGGCCCAGGGCCGATGAAGAGGGCAAGTGACTCCGTTTACCTTTAGTAAGTGGATATTTTGTGATTGTCAATGTTGACTATGTCACCCATCTTGTAAAAGGTCCAGGATTTGCCATCAAATTTCACACAGCCCAGAAGGGCTACCCTTGCTCTACAATGGGTAATTTGAAAGGGAGCAAAGCAATATCTGGTGCTGGTCGGCTTCACACACCATGCTAAGCCCAGGTTTGTTGAAAAGGTCACCACCGCCATGTTTAAGCCAGAAACCAAAGTCTTTTTTCTTTCACGACTCGTGAGCCAGCCATGGAGTGGGATCTCATTTCGGGGTGTTTTAGCTGCTTCTTCCACAAGGACCTTCTTTCCCCTGGCCCAGCCTACTGATGCTGCAAGAAGTGGCACCCACCACGTTCCGGAGGAAGTCCTTCAGAGTCCCCCCTTCAATGTACTCGGTGAGAAGATTCAGCTTCTTGTCCTTGTACAAGACCCCGATGAACTTCAGGACATTGGGATGCTCTAGGCTGCGCATCACCTTGACCTGCAAGAGAGATGGATGTTTCCCACGCTTGGAATAAACCGAGGCCGTTGCCTCTCCCCCAGGGACCCTCCTTAGAAAAGCAAAATAATGAATTCTGGTATATCAAAAAAACCATAAGCTAATGTCCAAGAGCTAAGTCGCTTTCCTCTGGTGGGGCCTTAAGCCACAGGGCTGCTGAAAGGAAATGCTCTCCGCTGCCGGGACATCTTCAAGACGGCCCTTTTCAGAAAGGGGACTCACCTCGGTCAGGAAAGTCTTCTGTGTTTCTTCATCACAGCGAATCAGTTCCTTCATCACCATCACCTTTCCTGTGGCTTTATGAGTCACCTGATGAAGAGAAGAGCATGACACCTTTCAAGAGGAGAACAGGGGTTCTTCTGTCTTGGCCCTGTTGAATCACTTTTAATTCCCTCTAATTCTGCCTGGAGCCCTGGAATAAAAGCCCAACCACAGGTGGAGGAGGGAGAGGAACAAAGCCAAGCTTGGAAGGTGAAGAAACTTCTTCCCTCCCATCGATGGCTAAGCACATTATTTCCTGCTGTGACCAGGGTTTCCTTCTGCTCCTCCGAGATTTGAAAGGGTTGCTCCATGGCAGAATCAAGATCTCTGCTACGGCTGCAGGCAAAACAACAAGCAAGGGAGAGATTCGACATGAACGCGGCCAGGAAAATCCAGGGTAGGCTGGCCCTTCTTCCTTTCTGCTCTTCAACCACAGGCTGCCCTGAGTGAGCAAAGACGACTTTACACTTTTCAAGCTAACAATAAAACAGGTTCTGTGCTTCCTTCCAGGGAGCTTCATCAGCACGGACCAGTGTTTCACTGGAACTTTTCCTCCACAACTCTGGGCCCAGGAGGCCTGTGCTGCTCGGCTCGCGTGGTACACTGGAAGACTTTTTAAGAGCCCTGGTAGCGCAGCAGACTAAAGCACTGTTATTAACATCAGCTGCCTGCAATTACTGCAAGTTCAAATCTCACCAGGCTCAAGGTTGACTCAGCCTTCCATCCTTTCTAAGGTAGGTGAAATGAGGACCCAGTTTGTGGGGGCAATAAGCTGACTTTGTATAAAATATACAAAAGTATGAAAGCTATTGCTTAGCGCATTGTAAGCCGCCCTGAGTCTCCAGAGAAGGGCGGCATATAAATCAAATTTTAAAAAAAATGCCTTCATGTCCACAAAGGAAGAAATTGTTTGCTTAAAAACTCCCCTTTCCACCAATTGCACACGGGGGTACTTTCCACACTAGGATCCCAGGGCTGGTACCTGGAGCCTAAGAGCTCCTCTTTTTTCTGTTGGGTTCTGCTCAGCGAGGAGGCCAAACCGGTCAGAAAGCTCCAGCTAGTTAGAGCTCTGCAGAAGGTCAGGAGCCACAAAAGTGGCATCTGCCTTTTGAAAGCAGCCTTTGTAATATGCCCTGACGATCTATGGAAGGAAAACCTGGCGACTTGGATCCCAAAGATGCTTTTTCAAGAGGCAACTGGACATTCTCGGTTCTTTTTTTTGAAGACGTTTCGCTTTTCATCCAAGAAGCTAAAGGATGAGAAGTGAAACGTCTTCAAAGGAAAACAAAGGAAGTCCAGTTGCCCCTTGAAAAAGCACCTTTGGGACAACCGTCACCTGGATGACGGAGAATCCCCAGAGCCCTCTGGCTACTTGACTTCTCTGCATTTGCTTCCCTCCCTCTTTCCTGCCCCCAGAATCCCCTGCAAGCCAAGGGCTTTCCGAAGGAGCCTGAGCACTCTGCAGAAATAATTATGTCAAAGGAAGACTCTGATTCACGCAACTTTACGCACCAAGACGTCCTACAAATTTCATCAGCCGGAAGAATTTTCCTAGCACTTGGAGAGAAATCTGTAACCTTTTATCCAGTAGCTTTTTGCTAATGTTATTTGCATTCACAGTGCCTTATGTAGCTATGCGCTTTTTCTTTACAAAAAAAAATCCCTGTAACGGAAGCTGGGAAAGTTTTTAGGAGAATCAAGATCTTCCCAAGGAACTCTTCCTTGTGCTCTGCCCTTAATCATCGAGCTACAGCAACAGCGACATTTTTTGGCTAGGAAATGTGAAACTGGTGGAGACCAAAAGTTGGCTCTGCACAGCTTCAGGAACCTGTCACAAGTGACAATGAGGTCGAAGACTCTGCTCAAACCGCAAACGCACTTAGCAAACAGCAGAGCCAGGTGCAGTTCACTTGTACTTTCGTGTCCAAATCTTGCAAGCCAGGCCCTTCCAGCACCTCCCAGCAGCCTTGGAGTCAACAAGGCAGGCAAGCACCGACAGCTCAGGGAGGGGAGGGGACCTATGAACAAGCTGCACCTTGTCGGGCTTTGTTTTCACCCTGCAGCCTTAGCGACACAAACAGAACGTGGATTGCCTGGAGGCATTTCAGATCAAGATATGAACACCTAAGGTGAGGAGGGTGGCAGAGACACTATCAAACCGCAGAGGCCTGTCCAGGGTTAAGCAGGAGGGCTAGCACGAAACACGCTCTAGAGTAGGGGCCTCCAACCGTGGTAGCTTTAAGCCTTGAGGACTTCAACACCCAGAATTCCTCAGCCAGCTATTGCTCCCAGGAATTCTGGGAGTTAAAGTCCAGACGTCTTAAAGTTGCCAAGTTTGGAGACCCCTGCTCTCTAGTGCAAACTGTCGCCATACAGGATGCTTCAGAAGTTAAGAACAGCCTCGCTGGATCAGGCCAAGGACCCTGTTAGTCCAGCATCCTGTTTTTCATTAGAGCTGACCAGATATCTCTGGGGTGTCCACCAGCAGGAGATGGCCAAACCCCTCCTTTCCCAGAGCTCTGTGCCAGCAATAGGCATCTGGGGACAGGCCAGTAAGATGGAGGCTTCCAGGTCAATAGCACAGAAACTCATCCTGTCCCACCAGGCAGACCAGACCAGGAAATCAACTCCGCAGGAAGGCTAAAGCTGCTTTGAGAGTAGGATTGCCAGAAAAAGCAGTCCTTTCCATCAACCCGTTTGCTCAGGTGGTCGTTCTCTCAAGCCCTGTGTGCTCCTGTTGGGTTGCCAATTCCAAAAGCCTCCTCCTTGCTAACACACAATACTGCCAATTCACACCATTCAGAAAGAACTCCGAAGCACCATCCCCTCCTCTGCCCTCTTAGACGGTGCACAGCGCAAAGGCAGGCGCTTTAATTAGGCACAGATCCTTCCAGAGTTTCATGAGGTTAAGCCCAAAACCTCAAGGTCACTGAATCATCCCTAGTCCAGCAGGTTACTTGGCCTCACAACTGCACATTAACTCCCTTTCAGGGAATTAATATAGTCCAGGCACAGACTTTGTGATTACCTAGGAATGTAGCTCATCTCCAAGAGTTGGAAAAAGAATGAAAGATGTCACCACCTCCACAAAGCCTAGAAATAAAGAATTGGGGATCTTGTTTACTTGAATCTCTCCACATGCAAAGGGCCTCCCTTGCTCCCTTTAAGACAGGGGTGGGGACCCCTGGCCCTTTTTATGACTTGTGGACTTCAACTCCCAGAATTCCTGAGCCAGCATGGCCCTTTAATGGCTGGCTCAGGAATTCTGGGAGTTGAAATCCACAAGTCATAAAAGGGCCAGGGGTCCCCACCCCTGCTTTAAGAAGACCAGTCTTAAAACAACGTATTCGCTTCAGCATGAATTTCTTAAACTACAGATCACCAAATACAGAAGAAAAGCAAGTTCAGGAGAAAGACCTCTGAGATAATACAACTAGCGGCAAGCCATCTGTTTATATTAAAAATAATATAAATTTCTCAGACTGTAATAGATACTATTTCTCTCTTTTGTCTTTCTCATTGACAATTGTAAGTCTGGCATGTCATGAAGCAGGTGACCGACCGTCTGTCTGAATGTTAAAGTCTGGATAGTGGACGTGACAATACCTGAATAGAAGAGAAGGAACTGGAGAAGATCACAAAATACAAAGACCTGCAAATAGAAATAGAGTGACTATGGCAAGAGAAAACAAAAGTAGTACTGATAGTCATTGGGTGCAAACAACTGGAACACCTTTTGAACTCTGTCAGCATTAAGAATTTCACCGTCAGTCAATTACAAAAGGCAACTTAATTTGGGATAGTTTACATCCTGCAATATTTTTAAAACCATCAAACGTCCACATCTGCCTATCTCCAGATCCTTAGGAAGGACTTGATAGGCAGACAAAAATGCCAAATCCAGTCTGAACCTCTGGCTTAGTTACTGTGTGACAAAACAAATATCTCTTGATATTACAACTCCTAACACCATGCCTAAAACCTGTTTCCAACAGCCCAGGCTGTAAAATCCATAAATAACTGCAATTTCAACAAAAATAGAAGAGTTAAAGAGTTTCTTTGATGGGCTTAATAAAAACATTGCTAAAAATACAGTCATATCATTTGACTTTAAGCCAAACTGCTTAATGGCAAAATACTGGCAAAAATAGAGATTGTGCTCTCTACCTATCAACACAAGGAAGCTGTTCTATATATAGCAAATAACAGAATAAATGCTAGGAGACACTTAATTTAAGCCAACTTCATTGCCAACTGCAAGCAATTGATGGTAAGAGGGCTTCCCAGCTATAAAAGCAGAAAGGGGATTAACCACCTGCCTATTTCAACAACCTTCCTAAGGACGAGAATCTGTCTGGGATCCTTTGCAATCACCCCTGTGTGAGTCTATGCAATGTGAAAAGGCTCTCGAATAGTAGTTGGGGTTTTCTCCAGGATTTACACAAAACCTCTAATAGGGGATAGATACCAAATACCAATCAGCCTCCCCCACTTTTGCTGCGGACTGAGGAACCTGTGCTTGGTCCACTTGAGCCAGGATCGATCACCACCTACAGCCAAAAGGTGAACAGAAGGTGTATTGTGTATTGTCTCAGACTTGCAATGTTGCACATTTGGGAGTCAGCAAAACTTCTGGCAGCTCTAACAGGCTCACAAAATAATTCTTGAGTCAATCCAGAATGGAGTTTTAAAGTCAAAGGAAAGACAACTGCCGACTTGACTCACCCCTGTGTTAATTAAAGAAAATCCAAGATCTCAAAGAAAAAAATACTGACACACACGGCCCCAGTTAAGCTTTCTGTTTCTGAGCAGTCGCTCCAAGAGTCTTTTCCCCCCTAATTAAGTTTGCGGAGAGTTAATTATCAGAAGCTGGCTCCATTCATTCTCTGTCTCAACAAAGCAAGCCAGTGGTGTGAGAAAACCCTTTCTCTCCTCTGAACCCTGGTCTTCAGATGGGGAATTTCCCTTTGGGGAAACTGGAAACCAAGTCAAGGTACCCCAAATAACCCCTCCTAACCCTACCACCTAGTAGATGGATGTTCCCCTGTGTTGAGGACCCATCCAGACAATGAAGACAAGTTTAAACTCATCTCAACATTCCTTACAAAGGACCGAGGACCCAGCTTGCATGAAGATTCACCACAAAAGCCTATTCTCCAGCTTGAACGAGGCATTTATGATGAGACAATTAGGTACGACCTCTTAACTAAATCGCCCTCGTATACATACACGGGTTACATCTGATTTCACTGAAGACCCTCTGGGGAAATTAATCAACTGTATCCGTTGGAACCTTATCTGAGAGTTTATTTTAGAGACTCTGATTTACAGGATAGGATGCAAGAGGCACTTCCGATGTTAACCATGCCTTGACAGGGCTCCTCTAGAACCAGGGTCTGCTATATTTAGATTAAAAGCTACAAGGGATAACATCTGTTTGCCTCAGCTGACAAGCTAATTTCACTTGTTATAGACTTCAGGGTGGAATGTGCTACAGCAGACCAAATCGCTGGGTGCCATTCATTTAAAGGGATACAATCAAAGGAATGGTTGCAAATGCGAAGCGAGGCAAAGTTTTAAGGGCTTAAATGCTCGTCAAAGTTTAATGGTCCCAGGGCTCTTCAACTTCTTCATGAATGATGAGCGAGCTGAAGAAGTGCTCAGCATACTGCAAACAATTCTGGTCACCATATTACAAAAAAGATGCTGAGACCTTGGAAAAAGTGCCAGAGAAGAGCAACTAAGACGATTTGAGGGGTGGGTGGGAGGGAATGAAAGTAACATGTGAAGCCTGGGTGTTGGGAAAGGGGGCTGGCTCTCTCACCTTGATTGCTTGGCCGAAGAAACCTTTGCCCAGCACCTCCCCATGGATCAGGTCACAGGGGCGGAAGATCTGCTGGGAACCGCTGGTGGAGGAGCGAAGGGATTCCGATCGGCTGATGTCGCGGCTCAGGATGAGCGGTTCCTTGGGGGAGCTGGGCCCGGGGGACTTGGAGATGCTGTTGCTTCGCCTGGAATACAACACACATTCAGAAGGGGACTCCAGGTACCATCTGCAGCCTCAGTGCTCCCTTCCCTCTTTGAGGAAAGAGCAAACTTCCAAACAAGAAGAGCACCTTAACAAACAACCTGGGGAACTGGCTCCATGCAGGAGCAGGATGGACATTCATGAGTCAGACCAGGATCCAGGCTACCAAGCAATGCCCCCTCCTTTTAATCCTTTGCCTATCTGGGATTTTGCCCAATCCCATCCCTAAACTGGCCTCTACAGGAGGAATAGATCCAAGTATGTATTTATTTGTTCAGTGTATGATGAGAACATGACAATGAGAGGTAAACATATACACACAATTAATCCAATTAATGAATTGATACGAAATATCTCTATCAATCCAGAAAAAGTAGACTGGAGGGGGGGGGGGTCTTCCTCCTTAACAGCAATTTACTTTAGGATTTTCTGTTGTTCCTTATGTGAATCACATTAGCCTGTGGTGGCCAAAAGTCAGAAAATCTGGTAGGACCTTTATAGACTAACAAAATTTATTTTTAAAAGGTATAAACTTTCACCAGTTGCAGCTCCCTTCATCATATGCACAGACTGGCTCGGTTGATGCAGCGTTTAAATTGGGATGAGGTGGAGGGAAATGGAAGAACGATTGGGCAGATTATATCCGAGACGGATGACAAGAACCGAATCAGTTAACAGATGTGAAGTGTTAAAACTAATTAGGTTTGTTGAGAGACTTTCTGAAATAGACTGAAACTTGTCTGATGTTTGTGAGTCCACTGGTCTCGTGGTCAATCATGCAGGCCAGGTTTCTTACTATTTCCAAAATAGTCCTACGCAGAACCCCGAGGAGAACGGCCAGCAAACGACGGCATTAGAAGAGCCGGTGATCTTATTTGGGAGGCTGCTGAAGTCTGTGATGGTGCTGTTGGTAGAAATGCAGACCTGGATTTATTAGAGGGTCTCATGTTGGCTCTTGTTGTTTCTTGTTGCTTGTGAGAATCAGCCTCAGGCTGAGGGGTGGCCTGCATGCAAGTCTGGGCCTGCCACTTAGGACCTGTAACAGGCCAGGGCTTTGGTCAGGTAGGGCTCTGGGGCAGCGTTGATGGGTTTGACTGGCTGGAGCTGTGAGATGTCACTGACCACCAACCACATTTTTTTCAATTTTTATTTAGGGAATTTATATCGCCGCCTATTCGCACATGGAGACTCAAGGAGGCTTACAGAATATAAAACCTCATTTAAAACAATAAAACTAATAAAAAAAGAATCAAATCAAATCACCCCTCTGCCCCAGCGACAGCAGATCACACGAGCCATTTAATGGGCTCTATCCTGCTCTGGGTTCCCCAGGCCCACTGGCAGAACCAGGTCTTCAGCGCCTTCTGGAAGAGTGTCAGAGTGGGGGCCATCCTAATCTCTGGGGAGGATGATGTTCCAGCGAGAGGGAGCCACCACGGAGAAGGCCCTTCTTCTGGCTCCCACCAGGTGCATCTCCCTTGGGGATGGGACCGCAGCATTCCCTGCCTCCCTGCTCTGGTGGGTCAAGTAGATGTGACCGGCAAGAGACGGTCCCTCAGGTCACCTGGTCCCAAGCCATGGAGGGCTTTAAAGGTGGCAACCAGCACCTTGAATTGCACCCGGAAGCAAATCGGCAGCCAATGCAGCTCCCGCAGGAGAGGTGATACATGGGCACACCGGGGTCTGCACAAAACCATGCAGTCCCCTGCATTTTGCACCAATTGTAGCTTCCGGATGCTCTTCAAAGGCAGCCCCATGTAGAGCATGTTGCAATAGTCAACAAGGGAAGTGACTAGGGCATGAGTGACTGAGTAGGGATTGTTGGTCCAGGAAAGGGCGTAGCTGGCACCCAACCCATAGTTGCGCAAAAGCCCTCCTGGCCTCAACTGCCACCTGCTCTTTGAGCAGGAGTTGAGTCCAGGAGAACCCCCAGATTACGCACAGGGTCTGTTTGAGGTTGTATTCTGTTACTCTGTTTGGTGGGATGTTCTGTATGAGATAATGCACAATTGTATGCTTTGTGCACAGCCAACTGCTTTATTTATTTATTTATTTATTTGTTTGTTTAAATTTCTATACCGCCCTTCTCCAATGTAGGACTCAGGGTGGTAAACAGCCAAAGTAAAAACAAGACATACATACAAAACATACAAAATCTAAAATCTGTTTAAAATAATTAAATAATTTTGGCCGTAATTAAAACATTCCAATTTAAAATCCGTTTAAAATTTGACTCAAGCCAGCCCAGCTAGTTGAAATAAATGGGTTTTTAGGGCCCGACGAAAAATCCGGAGGTCTGTTATTGTACGTAGCTCTGGGGGGAGGTTGTTCCAGAGGGTGGGCGCCGCCACAGAGAAGGCTCTCCCCCTGGGGGTCGCCAGCCGACATTGTCTGGCGGACGGCACCCTGAGGAGGCCCACTCTGTGGGAGCGTACTGGCCGGTGGGAGGCTATTGGTGGCAGAAGGCGGTCTCGTAAGTACCCCGGCCCTAAGCCATGGAGCGCTTTAAAGGTGGTCACCAACACCTTGAAGCGCACCCGGAAGACCACCGGGAGCCAGTGCAGCTCGCGCAGGAGAGGTGTCACGTGGGAGCGCCTCGTCGCCCCCAAAATCCCCCGCGCGGCCGCGTTCTGGACCAGCTGGAGCCTCCGGGTGCACCCCAGGGGGAGCCCCATGTAGAGAGCGTTGCAGTAGTCCAGGCGGGAAGTGACGAGTGCCTGAGTGACTGTGCGTAGGGAGTCCCGATCTAGAAAGGGGCGCAACTGGTGTATCAGGCGGACCTGATAAAAAGCCCCCCTGGCCACGGCCGCCAAATGATCTTCTAACGACAGCCGTGCGTCCAGGAGGACGCCCAAGTTACGAGCCCTCTCCGTGGGGGCGAGTGATTCGCCCCCAATAGCCAGCGATGGCGTCAGCTGGCTATATCGGGACGCCGGAAGCCACAGCCACTCGGTCTTGGAGGGGTTGAGTTGGAGCCTGTTTCTCCCCATCCAGGCCCGCACGGCCTCCAGGCACTGGGACCTCACTTTAAGGGCATCATTGGGGTGGCCTGGGGTGGAGATGTACAGCTGGGTGTCATCAGCGTACTGATGGAACTCCACCCCGAAGCCACGGATGATCTCACCCAGCGGCTTTACATAAATGTTGAACAGAAGGGGCGAGAGGACCGACCCTTGTGGCACCCCACAAGCAAGGTGCCTCGGGGTCGACCGCTGCCCCCCTGTCAACACAGATTGCGACCGGTCAGAGAGGTAGGAGGAGAACCACCGCAAAACGGTGCCTCCCACCCCCAACCCCGCCAACCGGTGCAACATGATACCATGGTCGATGGTATCAAAAGCCGCTGAGAGGTCTAACAGGACCAGGATAGAGGAGCAACCCCTATCCCGGGCCCTCCAGAGATCATCCACCAATGCGACCAATGCCGTTTCCGTGCTGTGCCCAGGCCGGAAGCAAGGGTGTCCAACCTTGGCAACTTTAAGACTTGGTGATTTCAACTCAACATGGTTGGCTGAGGAATTCTGGGAGTTGAAGTCCACAGGCCTGTGGATTTCATCTCCTGCTATATATCCTGCTCCCTCTTCCAAAATTGCTCACAAGAACCCAGCGGGGCAAGTTGAGTTGAAAGATTTTGAGTTTTGAGCTTCACGGTAGAGGTTGGGATGCTGGCTGGGGAATTCTGGTAGTTGATTATCTTTTATTTCCTTTATTTTCTATGTGCTAATTAGTAGGAGCTGCGGTGGCACAGTGGTTAGAATGTAGCAGGCTATTTCTGCTGACTGCTGGCTGCCTGCAATTTGGCAGATCGAATCTCACCAGGCTGTAGGATGACTCAGCCTTCCCTCCTTCCGAGGTGGGTACAATGAGGACCCAGATTGTTGGGGTCAAGAGGCTGACTCTGTAAACCGCTTAGAGAGGGCTGTGAAGGACTGTGAAGCAGTATATAAGTCTAGGTGCTATGCCTATTGCTATCTTCATTGTCTCTGAAGTTTACTATAAATTAGATCCTACCCTGTTTCCCCCAAAATAAGACATCCCTTGATCCCCAATCGGGCTTTTGAGCGCATGGCAATAAGGCCAAGCGCTTATTTCAGGGTTCAAAAAAATATAAGACAGGGTCTTATTTTTGGGAAAACACGGTAAGTATGTTTGATGCCTCTTGGGATCTCTGAACAGAAGATTTATCACATTTAATTAATTTAATTTAATTTAATTTAATTTAATTTATATGCCGCCTCTCTCCGAAGACTCAGGGCGATATATATATATAAGATATATCACAATTATAACCAAATTTATAAGGAATCACTTAAAGATCAGTTTTGGGATTCAAACAGCATTTTTAAATTTCTTCTACCATCAATTGTTTTTACAGATGACCAGATCTATAAATAAAGTAACCGTTATACATTTTTTCTTTCTTGATTTTGATTATACCTCGTGACCAATCTAACTCTCGAAGTACGGAGGGGCGATTTTCCTGGTCAACCCCCCCACCCCCCCAGGGTGATGCTAGAGACGCTCGAACCCATTGTTCTCCTCGGTTTCTCTTCCATTTGCCCGCAAGGTGCCTAGGCTGCAGGACACCTCTGCTGATCTCACACATCGGGATCAGAGGGGGAAAGCCCCAGGAAGAAGCAGATGGTGGCAGGTGTTCCAAGGTTGGGGAGCAGGGCAAGGTTCCCGGGACAGAACGCTTGAGCTGTCAGTCTCACCCCTTGCAGCTCAGCTACTTACAGGGACAACCGGGACGAAGCTGCTGTGTCAGGGAAGACGTGATTCAAGGGAACCTATTTCACTTATTTCTTACCCTTTATACAGGCAGTCCTCAACTTAGAACCATTTGCTTAGCGACCATTTGAAGTTAACAAAGGCACGGATAAAAGTGACTTATGACTGACCGATTGCAGCATCCCCAAAGGTCACGTGACCGAACTTCGGGAGTTTGGCAGTAGGCATGTGTTTACGATAGTCGTAGCATCCTGGGATCACGTGATCTCTATCTGCCGCCTTCCCAACCAGATTTCCAACAAGCAGCCAAGGGCGGAATCCAGATTCCCTTAGCAGCCACTCGTTTAACTAGTGACTTGCTTAACAACCATGGCAAAAAAAAAGGTTGTAAAATTGGGCACAACTCACTTAATAATCACCTTGCTTAGCAATGGAAATTCTAGTCCTAACTGTGGCTGTAAGTCGAAGACTACCTGCGTATCCCTGACTGGTGGTTTACAATAAAGGTGAGGAGCCATAAGACCAAATCAGCAGCAGGCCAGGCAGTGATCGGCAGATGCAGATAGGAAAAGCGCCTGGCCTCTAGAGCAGGGGTCTCCAACCTTGCAACTTTAAGCCTGGCGGACCTCAACTCCCAGAATTCTGGGAGTTGAAGTCTGCCAGGCTTAAAGTTGCCAAGTCCTTAAAGTCCTCCAGGCTTAAAGTTGCCAAGGTTGGAGACCCCTGCTCTAGAGAGCCAGAGATACAGCCTTGCAGAAACTACCCAGTGGAGACAGTTCCAACATGTTCAGCAACATGATTAAAGCCTGAGAAATGAACACCAGGAAGCAGCTCTGACGGAGTCCACCCTGAGCTGTAGGAGGGAGGGAGGGAGGGAGGGAGGGAGGGAAGGGAAGGAAAACCCAATCAGGCTTTCAAGAATCTGTTACTAGAGCTCAGGTCAATTAAGCAACGTTCCAGCCAAACTGGCAGGGTCAGTTCCCTGCCTTGGCCACCTCCAAGGACGGTTATGGCCAGAGGGCAGCCCTTGCTTGTGCTCTACTTCGCAGCTGGAGATTAGCAGGCCGTTCTGGAGTCTGGGGAATGTTACCTGAGGGAGCGTCGCCGCAGGGTCCCTTCCAGGTTCTTCTTGAGCTCCAAGGCAGAAATAGAAGGGGTGGAGGGCTTCTTATTGCCCCCGGAGAGCCGGGAGTCCAGGCGCAACCGGTCCAAGCGCTGAGAGACCGGGTCATGTTCGATTAACAGCTGAAGGGTTTGATTCGTCTTGTGGATCAGTTCTTTGACCTGAGAAGTAAAGAGTTCAGGGAATTGGGCCGTGCTGGAAAAAGGTTTCCAAAACAACAGAGCCACAATCTTCCTCCATCAACCTGGGATGGGGAGGGTTGGGTGAAGGAGGCATTTTCTTAGCAGGTCTTGGCTCTCTTTAAGCCACTTTTCCTGATCAGGGCTCCTTTATTTATGTCATATAAATCTGCGATGAAAATCAAAATAGCATATGCAAGTTTTTCAACTGGCACTCAGGAAGACAAAAAAATACAAAACTCCTATTTTTGTTTTAAAACACCACCTTAAGGAAGAAGTCAAGTCTTCTGAAGCATCAGGCCAATCCCCCCAGGCCCTTCAGCCAGCCTGCTCTTCTCTTCTCTCTCAGCATCTCTTCAGGTTTTCAGAGGAAAGGAGGTCTTTCACAGTTACTTAGAGAAGCTGAGAACTTAGTGGGGGCTGCCAAACCCAGCTCCTCCCAGGCCTCTTGCAGGAAATAAGGAAGGCTGTTCAGAACGTACCTCTTCGGTTTGTAGTGTGCGGACTGGGTTTCCGTTGATCTCCAGGATTTTGTCCCCAGGGTGAATGGCATTTTGGACATCAGAGCTGATGTGCCTTCGGTCAACTCTGCACACAGAGAAAAACATGACTTGGGCAATGAAGGCAATGCAAGCCACCTCTGAAGGAACAAGGATAGGTAATCCTCGCTTTATGACCTTTTGTTCAGTGATAGTTACAATAGCAATGAACGAATGATGGTTAGGAACAGTCCTCAGTTACAGCTGTTGCAGGGCCCCTAGAAACACATAATCAACATTTGGGTGCTTCACAGCTGTATTTATTATGATCGCACGGTAGGATTCAAGTCGTGTGTCCCATCCCGTCGTCCCCATGTCCACCCCCCACCCCCCGCTACTTGCCTACCTCCCTCCCTATCTTTGGGGACAACCCACACTCCATCACCCCCCTACCCCTGCCACCCCCAGCTGACCTTTGTTATCTTCTTCTTCCCTCCCTCCTTCCCGCTGCTGCTGGGAGGGCCAGCAGTTGCCTCAGCTGGAGCAGCTGGGAGGAAAATGATAGTGAAGGGGGCGGCAGGGGATGGGCGACGATGGAAATGCCGGGCAGCCAAAAGGGCAGGGATGGGAGGAGAGATGGGGTAGGGGGAAGTGAAGTGCATCCTCTGGCCTTAAATTGTTGTAAGCTGCCCAGAGTAGCCCCCACAGCGAGATGGGCAGCAAATAAATGTGATAGTTTTTGCAATCCCTTGGTCATCTTTGTTACCTTTCACTGAAAGTGTTCTACTCTGAAAGTCTTTTGTGAGGAGGAGTCTGGCATCACTTCTTCCAACTAAGAATTATTTTTCTGCGTTGCATCTGTTGGTATCAGACTGATGCAAGACTGAAACTGGGGTGAGGCAAAGATTATGCAAATGCAGGTTACAGGTGAGACAGTTCACAGGCGCCTTATCAATTAACAATGGCGACCTGTTGAAAATGCATTGTATCTGAGTCCTTTTGAGGGATCCTTTTGGAAGAATTCACAAGCAGAATGATTTCAACACAATGCCTCCCATTTTCAAGGAAGGCCATGAATGGCATACTCACTCCTTCACTTCCACAGTAGCAGCATAGGGGGAGCAGCCCCCTTCCACAGCCACAGCAAACCCCCTTTCGCCGTTGGTGGCTGCAGGCATGGAGAGAAGAGTCAACGTGTACGGCAGCTGTTCACACAGAGGCTCCACTGACAGCCTTTCTAGCATTGGCGTCAGCACAAACTGGTTATGGCATTTGCCACTGGAAAAGGAGAAGGGAATTCTGCTGTTAGTTTAGACCAGAGGACAGAAAAGGCCAAGTACGCTTTCCATGCCCATCTAAAGCCTTGGCCTTCCTTACGGTGCTGCTGGTTGCAAAGACAAGGCCTATATTCAGACAGCTTTGTTTCCAACATTCCCTCTTTGGCATTCCGACACCCCCTTGCCCTCAGGGTTCTCTCCCCACATAGGACCACAGTGGCCAGAAAAGCATCAAGGCTAAAGATCCAAGGGGCAGCTGGGCTGGCCAGTGAGGGAACACAAGGTCCAGGCTTCACTCTGTTTCCAAGGAATTCCAAGACAACATGTGGCCCACCCTCCACTTTCCAGCCTTCTCCTTTAGAGATCTGGGTGGCACGACCACTTGAAGGCAGCTGGCCTTTTACCTGCTGTCTCTTACAAACAGCACAGATCTCCTGATAGGAATCCTAGGCCCTGGCAGGGCCTGTTCCATCCTGGCACATGGACATGAAGAGCGGGAAAGCAGAACCATCTCGTGCAGCCTTTCCTTACTTGGTGCCCTGAAGATCCACTGACCCTCCATGCTCCTAATGACCAACCAGAGGGGTTGAGGACCGGAAGGCACTCTCCAGGTCCCTCCCCTCTCTGGGGAACGCAAGGGGGGAAACACACAACCATTTCCTGCCATTCTCACTTCTTGGTGTCAAGGCAGACGAGGGCCAAGGGCAGAGCAGAAGACTTTCCCTGTCCCAGAGAGCCACTCAAACCCACGGCTGAGCGTCACCACTTCTCCTTACCAGTAAAGAGCCGAGTGCTGCACCAAAGCGTAGCTGTCACCATCTTCAATGATCACTTTACATCGCATGCACGCAAAGCACTCCGGGTGGTACTTGTACTCCCCGGCCACCTGCCAGGAAAAGGGACGTGCAGGATGGTCAGGAAGAAAAGTGAGGATGCTCTAGAAAGATGGGAGTGAAACCCCAGTGGTGGTTTTGCCCTTTTCCTGAATGCAGACATGGCAGTTGCTGTCGAGCCGGAATTTTGCCACACTCTGAAATCCCAGATCCCAGAGATGCCTCAGGAACAGTGACTCCTTGCGCACTCTTGCACAGAGCACACGACGGGGGAGACGGCTCCAGGAGAGAAGAGAACAAGGGGCCAGTTGGCGACCCCTCGGTACTCTGGTTCTTCATGGTGGGGCTGGAAGGTAGCTGGCAAGGAGAGGCTGAGCTAAGGTGGAGGGGCCATCCCAACTGAGAGCAGGAAATGAGGTGCTAAACCACCGGGCAGCTGCTGCTGTTTGGGAAAAGAGGCAGGGATTGACAAGCCAGCACAAGAACCATGGATGGGTGGCTGATTCCAGGAAGGGAAATCTCAGGAACCGTCTGGGGGAAATTACCTTGCAAGGCCTGCTTAGTTTTATTCAGACTTCTAGCTCACTAAACACCCTCCTAGGGACTGCTAGGATCTGGGAGGGAGGCTGTAGACTCAGCTGACCTACCGGTCTGTCCTCGGCAGCCTTTCTCACTTGCCTTACACTGTGTCTCCAGGCCGTGCCCTTGTGAAGACAAGCAGGGAAGCCGCCCTCAATCCCAGGACCAAAGCAAAGCTGAAAAAACCCGGGGAAGGGAAGAGGAAGAGAACCCGGGGCTGCTCCCCGCCTCTCCCTATCTCTCAACTGCCACTTCCAGCCACTTTGAAAAAAAGAAACCATAAAACCAAGAGACTCGTCTCCCCAGCTAAAGCATCTACTGCTACATGTAGAGGGAGGAGGGCTTCTTCCATATTGCAGCTTGTCCCCAAGCACCAGATGGTGGTCTCAATCCCCAAGGAGGCAGATTCTGGCTCCCCCCAGCCCAAGAGGGCCCTCTAGTGGCCACAACCAGGTTTCAGCCCTCAGCCAGTGTCCTCCTCCTGGGTTCCCTGGGCCTGAAATGGGCTGTTTCTCAGCACTTTTGAGACCGGAGACAATAGCTAAAGCCCTCAGATGAGATTAGCATTATTTTAAAATAAAAGGTTTCCCAAACCTAGGAAAACATGCCTCCCACCATGCAGGTGATCCAGCTTTGCCATGCTCCCTGACCTCATGCTTCCCCCCAGAGGGGTCCTCCACCCCCACCCAAGTGGGAAACCTGATTCCAGGACACTAAAAAGCTATTCTTCCAGCCCAGTGACCCTTCTGGCTTTTAATGGGTGGGGTTAAGCCTGAGGAATTCTGGGAGTTGAAGTCCACACATCTTAACATTGTCAAGGTTGAGAAATATTAGTTTAAGGGATGAAATGAATGTGTCACTCCTTCACCCCCAAGTGTCCCTTCCACCAATCTGGCACCCAACGCTTGAAAGGGCCAAGCATTTGAAGCTGTAACTCATAAAATGAAGCAATTTGGGGTTTTTAAATTCAATGTTGTTAGGGTGATTCAGGTGACCCAAACCCCCAAGTGCCCTCAACAGCTTAAAAGAGCTGTGGTGGTGCAGTGGATAGAGTGCGGTACCGCAGGCTACTTCTGCTGATCATCGGCTGCCAGCAGTTTGGCAGTTCAAATCTCACCAGCTCAAGCCTTCCCTCCTTCCGAGGTGTAAAATGAGGACCCAGATTGTTGGGGGCAATCTGCTGACTCTGTAAACCGCTTAGAGAGGGCTGGAAAGCAGTGTGAAGTGGTATATATGTCTAGGTGCTATTGCTGTTGCTATGGCTCTGAGAGAGAGAGAGAGAGAGAGAGAGCTAACAACTAGATGACTGCAAAGAAATACAATCCTTCCGCGCACACACATCCTGTCAGAATCTATCTTTCCATTCCTGCACCATCCAGTCACAACTGATGATGCTCCTTGGATGAAAAGCGAAACATCTTCTTCTTCCTCAAGGAAACAACAGTCCAGTTGCCTTTTGAAAAAGTACTTTGAGACCCCTAGGACCTGGATGACTGAGAATCTCAATAGGCATGTTGAGAGGATGCCTCCTCAGGCTGCTTGCTGGAAGGTATGTGTTTAATAGACCCCTTCAGGGAGAAGCCCACCGATCCCATCTCTGTGGCTAAGGAAGGCAATTCATTTCTCCCAAGGGGAACCCAGAGGTGCTAGCTGGCTATGGTGAGGGAGAGCACAGCACAAGACTTACCATGACGGGCCCCGTCATCAGCAGCGAGCAGCCGTGGCAAGACTCCCCAAACTTCCGCCAGTAGTCCTTGGGGCAGTACAGCTTGGCATCCTTCTCATAGTACCAATTGGTGAGGTGGTCCTGGCACTCTGAGCAGCTGGCAGGAGGGAAAAAGAGGGCGGGATGTTTTATTTGCTGGGCACCGTTTTAATGTCACATTTTTAACTATTCTTGCCCTATTTTAATTTTTTTTACATTCAGCTTTTATGTTTTTAACATTTTATTTGCATATACGACCCATGATCCCTCTATGAGGGAGATGGGCAGTTTCTAAATATGATGGATGGAATGAGATAGATAGATAGATAGATAGATAGATAGATAGATAGACCTATGTACTAATCCGATCCCCATTTAATGTTCCTTGCTTTTCATAGAGAAGGCCTGCAACTATTCCCATCTCTTCAATCTGGGAAAGAGACAGTGAAGGAGAATCCAAAAACAAAACCCAAGCTAGGGTTGACTTCTTCCAACCGGAGGCAAAGGGGGGCTTCACAGAAACAAGCAAGGCTTCTTTCCATCTGCTGGGAACCAAGAAGCATCTTTTGCAAGGTGGACCATGAGGAAAATAGCTTGGAGTCTATTGAAAGCCCCCCTGGAGCAGCTGCAGTTACTCCTGAGCAGCAGGGAGAGACTGGAAAACTCTAAGCTGTCACTGAGCAAGAAAATTCCAAAGAACCCCAGAATGGAAACAAAAAAATAAATTCTTGCAGTGACTCTGAACACTTCTGCCACCGGGTCCTTGGCAAGATTTCAAAACTGTCTTTCTCCTCCCCCAAAATTCATTACCTTTGCAGCAAAGACCAATTTGTTCGGGGGGGCGGAGGAGATGATGTACTTTGGCTTGTAGCTACAGATCTTGAAAGCTTCCCAAGAGGAAACGGGCCAATGCTGGCCAGACCACACTGCCTTCACTCACTGGGCATGCTTTCCCACAGAGAGCTCCACTCCCCCAACTCATTCATCGTGCAACTGAACATGAAATCTGATCCCCGTTGGAAGTCTGTCATTCTGAAACACTTTGCCTTTGCTTTGGGCTCTGGCTGGCCAAAGAACTGGGACGTGGACCCAGGTTTCATGGCAAACAGGGAGAGGGGCCTTTAATGTGGTCTTTGACTACCAAAGCACTTTGATGTATGCGTTCACCGGCACACTTTCTCATGTAGTACCTACCAAGTGGCTTTTGGAATTTCCACTGAGGAAAAAAAAATATTATCCTGCCCCACACTGCCTAAAGGACAAAAAGAGCTCTTCCTTTCCGTTCCCCCTGGAAAAGATAGCAAATCCACTCAAGGAGGCATCGCATTGTTCAGGTCCTTTTAAATTTACCTGTGGTTTCCAAGGAAGGTGTTATGGAAATAGGCCTCAGGTATCACTTTTCCTTATGCTCAGTGATATTTTATATTTATTTTAAAATAAATCTCTACTGTTGCATAAAAGAGAAAATCACTTCCATCTAGATAGACGATGTCATGAACTGATTGAAATCTTTACGTATTTTGCAATCTACACCGAACTGACAAAACAGCATGTTAAGTTTCAAACCCAGATTCGAAGAACTCTACACCTAAAGAAAACCAGTGGGTATTTTTGTGGTTGTTTAGTAGCTGATTGACAGCTTCTGACCACCAGCACTTCTTTATAAGTTCATTATATTCTTCCCTGCACTGGAGAAAGGCCAACCGATAGAATTGGGAGAGTAAGACACAGCTGCCTTCACTGAAAGGCTGCCATGCTGGGAACATCGATAACAAATGAATGGTTATCGCAAAGTCCACTAGTAAAACTGCTCACTGCCACCCTCTCCAGTACCAAAAATGTTCTTCACCTGCTCAACTCACCTCTATCCTTTTTCCAGATTGTTAGAAAAACTTCGAAAGAAAGAGTTTCCCACCAATTTTGCCTTCTAACAATCTGGGGCTCGTGGGGAATATAAAGAGAGGCATTTATGGACACTTAATATTCATAGACGCTACGTACCACCGATCACTAATGTCTACCACCAGGCCAGGAATAATGGATCAGTGTTATATTCCAATAACATAATGATTTCAATCAAGTATGGAGTTCATGTATAAAGTTGCAACCGTCTCTTCAGTAATAAATTATTACTTTCCACTTTACAGATTTACAGATTAACAGAGTTGTAAGGTACCTTGCAGGTCATCTAATCCACCCCCCTCCGTCCAAGCAGGAGACCCTACTACACCATTTCTGACAGATGGTAGTCCAGTCTCTTCTTGAAAGCCTCCAGTGTTGGAGCATTCACAACTTCCGAAAGCAACTTCTGTTCCTTGGGTTGATTGTTCTCATTGTCAGAAAATTTCTCCTCCTTTCTACATTGAATCTCTCCTTGAACAGTTTCCATCCATTATTCCTTGTCTAGCCTTCAGGTGCTTTGGAAAATAGCTTGACCGCCTCCTCTCTGTGGCAGCCCCTCAAATATTGCAACACTGCTATCCTGTCTCCCCTGGTCCTTCTCTTCACATCTTTGCATCTGCCCTATGGACAGAAAATCCTATCACAGAGCAAAACAGGCAAAAGGCACCTGCAGTTATCCTCCCTTCACCCAGCTAAGCAGGAGGAAGACTGATGGAGGAAGGGTTTCCGGGCACCGACATCGCTGGGTGCCCTAATGATTGCCTCTCTTCGCAAACAAGGTCTACTAGGCAGACAAGGCAAGCAGGAAGGCAGACTTACCAAAAGGGCTTCCTTGGAGTGACATAAGCCCAGGCAGACAAGTAGCTTCCCATCTCCAGAGCACTGGCCAAACCAGCTCAGCAGCAAACCTGTCCAACTGCGTCTACTCAGCCCTCGCAAGGGTGCACTTCAGCTCCTGAAGTGCTTCAGGTGTTCGCATGGGAATGCCAGATGCTGGGCCAGCAGGGGCTCCTCGGTGGGCTTGCCCCAGCTCTCATGGTCTCCTGCCCCAGAACGGCCCAAAGGGCAGCTCAACTCGCAATCGTGCAGGAGGGCCAACGTACTTGCGGAGGAGCCACCCAAGGAAGTCAAGACTGGCTGAGGCACCAAGTTCCCTCCCTTTGCAGTTCTCCCGCGAGGGTGGAAGAGGAGGAGGAGCTTCCTTCAGAAGAGAGCTGGATACCTGAACTATCAGGAGGTAACAACTGATCTGCAAAGGGTGGAATTGCAGCCGCGGAAACCCTGGAGGGCATGAAGCTCTTGCAAAGGAGAAAGCTGCCTCCAAGACAAAAGAGGCCAAATCAATCCGACAGCCAAAGTTTGCTATGACACTTGGCATTATTTTCTTTTTTCTTTTCCTTTTTAATGTTGCTGAAAGTCTTTAAGATAACAACAACAGAAAACTATACAAACCCAGAAGACAAGAAAAATAAAGTGCCAGAGAAAAGAAAAGAGGAAGAAAATATGAAAATAGAGAGTGACTTTCAGTCTTCACAATAAGCACAAATTTAGTAACTTTGGTTAGTTTTGTAGGTGCTTCTGATAAAAATACAGACAAGTCTGCTAGACGTAACATGCAAGGATCTCTCTTCTTTCCATATCTTACTTCTTATTCATACGCAAACCCATAAATCATTATCATTCCAGTCCTCATATCAGCAAAATGTCCATTAAAGGTTCTCAGAATTTTACACTAATATGTCTTGGTTTAAGTTTGGTCAAACAAACCAACTTTTTACTCCTTTTTTTTGCTTCTAGCAATCTTGAACTTTATTCAGATGCTGTCACAGAATTCAATCTCTCTTCAGTTTTTCTTTTTCCCATCTTAAAAGCTTCTTGGATTTATCAATCCTCCTTCATAAATCCAGAATACAATAATTTTCCAGGTCATTCTCTTGGCTTATCATCTGTATTTCCACTAACTGTTATCCCTACTTTATAATCCCCCCCCTTTTTTATTTTTTCAGTATTTCAACAGTATTTCTTTATATTTCAGCATCAGATGATATTTCTTTCAACTCTTTATCCTGTAGATCTTTCGGCCAATTCTCTTTCACATCTGTTATTTCTTCTTTGGGCAAGAGGTTGGTGGCAGCCTTAGCTGGTACTGGCTTTCCAGATGCAGCTTTTCTGAATGTTGTTGTCTCAAGAGTGAAATGGTTGCTAGGAGGCAGAGGAAACATAATCCTGCTAGCTCTCCTTGGGCTTCTCAGTAGCTTTTGATGCTGTCAACCATCAAACCCTTCTGGAAAGTTAAGTAAGGGGTCCTTGGCACTCACTGAGCTTAGTTAACCCAAGGAGCCCTCATTTCAACCCTGGACTATAAATATTCTCCTTTAAATTTAAGTAAATTGGAGCTGTGGCAACTATTTTTGGATCGTTCCAATATTATTTGAATGGTTAATTTCAGAAGATGGCTTAACTTTTTTTTTTTTTAATTTGATTTATATGCCGCCCTTCTCTGGAGACTCAGGGCGACTTATAATGAGTTAAGCAATAGCCTTCATACTTTTGTATATTTATGCAAAGTCAGCTTATTGCCCCCACAAACTGGGTCTTCAATTTACCTACCTTAGAAAGGATGGAAGGCTGAGTCAACCTTGAGCCTGGCGAGATTCGAACTTACAGTAATTGCAGACAGCTGGTGTTAATCACAATGCTATCAGTCTGCTGAGCCACCAGGCCCTTCTTTGTGTTCATACTTTGAGTAGAAAGTATTTAGTAGACAGCTTATTTGCCTAATAACTGATAAGTCTGTGGAAGGCTGCAGACCCCATTTCTTGAAAAATAATCTTCTTGAAGCACATAATCTAGAAATCACTTGTGAATTGTCCTCGTTGTTGGTGCATCTGTAGGAGCCTGATGGACATGAGAATCCTTTATTAGAATAAGTGGAAATTCCAGCTACAGCACTCCTGGGACAAGGATACTGTGTTGGGAATTTCCTATCTTGAATACTGCAATGCATCACATTTGGAACCAGTTTTCAAAACCATTCCCAAATTGTAGTGAGGTCAGAGTCAGAGTCAGAGCCAGAGACAGCTAACTTGGAATGGGAGATCAGAGCCTGCTTCTAGGGCTCCTCCAACTGCACTGAATCCTGGAACATCGTTTCCGTGAGAATTGGATTGTTAAGGTTCTTTATAGCACAGAATTTTCCCCCTGCTTGCATTTACCCAAACTAGCTGGGAGTTTTTCAGAGTCTTCTTTTTTTTTTTTTTTATTGCAAAAGTTTTACAATTACATTTTCACCCCTTTTTCCCCCCCGCCTCCCCCCCAAACTTCCCAACCTCCCTAACCCTCCCTAACCCTCCCCTCCCCCCAGACTTCCCTATAATATATTCATACTCATAAAAAACCCTTATATGTAAACTTATATGTAAACTTGAACCCCTCCCTCCCCTGTGTAATTTTTCTCTTTACCTCATTACATTAAAATATTTCCACTACATTACATTATTTTCAAATAAAAGCTATTTGATACTTTCTAGTTTGATAGAGTCTTCTTAAGGGCCAGAGGAGATGCAGGAGCACCTGGCTTTTGGTAAGGGTCTTTTCAGTTCCATGGTACCCTAGTTCTGCCATTTCTTCCCCAAAGAATACCATTAGCACCTAGATTGGTCGTGTCTACAATATGTTTGCTTTGCAGGTTTCTGAATCTGCCTTAGCTTCAGGCTTTTTATGCCTCAAGACTTTCCTTTTCTGTGGTGACTGCTTTTTTTAAATTCTTATTGAAATTCTACTTGATTTATAGAATAAATAGAATAATTTATTGGCCAAGTGTGATTGGACACACAAGGAATTTGTCTTCGGTGCATAAGCTCTCAGTGTACATAAAAGATATAAGTGATAAATCATGATGATAGCCATCATAAATACATTCATCATGAATCATAAGATACAACACTTATCTCTTGTGAGTAACTCAGAGGACTTTACTATAGGAACAGGGCCTCAGGGGCTCTGAGATCCATGCCCCACATCTCCATTTCCTCTGTTAAATGGTATCTCAGAGACAACAAAATTGGAAACTCTCCAAATATTTAGTGTTTGTTTGAATTCTATGTAAAAACCCATACGTTTTATTAGTCCTCTTTGTCATGCGTCATGGACCAGATTCCTCCTAGTGCTAAACAAAGGCTGAGGGCAACTATTTTATTTATTTAGCCTGTGAAATCTACAGAGGTGATGCAATCACTGATATGCAAATATTGGAGTCTAATTGCTGCCTTTGTAGTTTTTGGCCTTGAGGGATGCAATATCCTCTTTGGTTGCCAGTGTGTATAGACTATTAAGACAGAACATTGCCAGGCAGGGGTAGACCATTGTGGAGGTAGTCCATACTTCACACCCCAGGGCATCAGTCCAAATTCATGCATGGCCCAATCACAGAGGCCAATCAGATGCTCTCCAGGAAACACCAACACAAATACACAAGCTTCTCAGCCGCCACCTCCGCCAGTGGCCACAACATCTGCTAGTCATGGATTTTGGAGACTATCTGTGTGGATATATGGATCAGGACTTGTTGCTGCCCGGAATCTCCTGCTTTTCAGTATAGTTAGGCAATTGTTACATACATAATTGAGTCCTGGGATATAATTAAATGCTGCATTTTTTTTCATCCCGGACCATATCGATCGTGCCATTCCAGAAGACAACTGGCCTATCAGGCTGGCTTCCTGAGTCAGTAAAACATAAAAAGTAGTCCCAAAACCTCTTTTATTGCAACAGCTGTGAATTATGTTCATTCACAGATGAGTCCCAAATAGTTGTAAAGAGTCCTTCCGGATAAGGTTGATAATCACCCTCCTTTATTTCCCTTGACATGCTGCCAAAGACCTAATTGGCAAAGCCACACAGAGTCCAGAATCAAACAGAGCTTCAGACTTTAAACTGAACAGAATTAACAATGTTGCTTCCTGCAAAGGCCCAGGTGCCTTTGCTCCTCTTTTAAGTCTTATGGCACTTCCAGGCAATTTGCAACGTCACATATTCATAACAGTCGCATTTGTTCCGGGCTCAGATGATCTCCATTTGTAACCTTCCCATCTGGCTTCCAACAAGCAAAGGCAATGGGGGAAGCTGGATTTACTTAACTACATGATTCTCTTAACAACTTCAGTGTGTCAACCCTGAAGCTGACCTGACCGGAGCCATCTTGGAGCTTCAGTGTTGCCACAATGGAGCTGAGGGATTGCGGGGGGGAGGGGGAGGATTAGAGATAGCTGGAGTTTGTAGCCAAAACAAAATACTTTCTCTTGGGAACCAAGGACATTCTCACACCTGGCCCGAGGAAGGAGGAGTGAGGTCACCAGGCAACCAGACAGTGTCTTGATTGGACCATGTAACTGATTGTTTGGGGTTGTGGGAAAACTTTCTCTTTTAATTAGGTGAAAACCGTGGGAACCTTCAGAGTCAGCTTTCACCAGATCTGTGCCAATATGATATCTCCAATAAAGCCATTCTTTGAGGAATCCGTCTGCCTTGGAGTTTTGCTTCCTAGGGGTCTATTACTTGGAACCCTGACATAGTGATGCACTTGCCTTGCTTAGGAAAGGAAATTTTGGGTTCTGTTGTGCTTGTAAGTCGAGGACTCTCTGTAAAGAGGACTGCTAGCATATCCCTGAAGGGCAGGAGGAATAGGACTGCAGCCTTCGGATGCTCCCAGCTGGGAACCAGCCGTTTTCTTTAACCCTGAAGGCAGGAAGGAATCTGGCACATGCACCACCTATCACCAACGACAACATCCAGTCTACCCTTCCCATTTGGAGGCAGATTTTGAACTGCGGACCTTACAGTTGAAACATTTGGTCAAATGTTGGCATTTCCAGTTCTTCGCTGTCCCCCGTTTCTACATTAATGAATGATGAAGAATTCTGGAGAAGCCAAAAATGGCATGTTAAGGATTTATGGACCAACTCAAGCATGAAAACAAAATGGTGACTGTTGATCCTCAATTCAAAAAGGAGCTTTGCCATACTCCTTGTGGGTGGGCACAAGCAGCAAACAACGAGTTACCCTTGCTTTAAAACTCATTGTAAGACAAGCCACCCCTCCTCCCAGCAAGAATTCAAAGGTACATTTTGTAAGTATTCAA